GCAATCTTTTTAGAACCTCTAAATAGAAAGCTTGATTAACAGTCTGATGATGATGGAATGAATTTCAAGTTGACATTTTCATCTGTTCAGGAAGTTGACAATGTCCTCAATGAGGTTTGTCATATCAAACGACATTTCACCATTTTTGAAATGAGAAAACCACTCGTACACTTGAATTTTTCCCATTGTGCTATCCTTATCAGCTGTGTTTTAACATCACAGTGGTTTCTGTGTTTCTTTGGCATACCCGCCCCCCCCAAGCAGGAAACAAAATTTCACAGCCACATGCCTCTTAAATTGCTCATCACAAAAAAACGAGGTTTGAAGTAGTCAATTGGACACCCCCTGTCAGAAGGGCCACAAGGAAGAGACGAGCCATCAGAGGCAGTATAGCACCGACAAAACACACAATCTTCCTCTAGTTTTTTTTTAATTTTTTTCCTTTCTCTAATTCTTTAAAGCTTCCTCCTCCCCCACTATTATGACCCCAATTGTATCTTACAAATCTGGCTAGACCAGAACATGTATACTGGTACAGATAAGAGCTAGCAACACAGAGAATGCAGAACAGACAAACCTCTCAGGACCAATAAGGGGAGCAGCGATATGAGGAGGGTCAGGGAAGGGGGGGGTGCAGTAAGGGGAACCCATCGTAATAATTGACATATGGCCTCCCTTCCAGGGGGACACAGCAGAGAAGTGAGTAAAGGGAGACAGTAGTTGGTGTAAGACATGAAAAAAAAATTATAAATTATCAAGGGGACTTAGAAGAAGGGTGGAGGAGGAGGGAAAAAAATGAGCTACCAAGGACTCAAGTTGAAAATGTTTTGAAAAAGATGGCAACATATGTACAGATGTGTTTGACACAATGGATGGATGGATGGATTATGATAAGAGCTATACGAGCCCCCAATTTTTAAAAAATGCACTTAGTGAATGTTTACCCTTGGAAGAACAGATGACCAATTTATTCTTTCCATATTAAAGATTTGGTCCAATTAGAAAAAAACCCACTATGGCTTCTAATGATTGTACTACTCCTCTTGATGTGATTGCACTATTGAATTATATGAGATGTGGATTATGTGCTAATAAAACTGTTTTTGAAAATATTGAAAAAAAATGAGGTTCGAGTGAAACTGCTTTTTCAAATAAATTCACTGTGACCAGAGAGAACCTTCCCAGACGATACCACTACTTGCACTAACTCAGAGTGAGTTGCTTGATGCTCTCCTAGTGGGAAAAATGCATACTACGGAAGCTCTGCTATGCCCAGCACAGTGCGTCTTTATTTATTTGGGAGGGGGGATCTGCTCGTATTTTTGGTTTTGTTTTGTTGTTATTAATCACATGCATTATAGTTATGTAGGTAAAAAATGGATAGAATCAGTGATGCCTTCCAGTGGAATTCTGAGTAAGGATGTTGTGTCCTTGCTAATTTCCATGGTTTCTTATGCTGTTTCTTTTTAAGAAAGAGAATTAAGTGATTTGTAAAGAAAATTTCCATGCCCTCAGCTGCAATCATTTACTGCCTTTGATCTGTTTAATTTCTTGCTGGAGAATTTTTTTTTTTTT